CACTTTGGGAGGTTGGAGGCTGAATAAGATGACCTAAACTTTGATTTAGAGGCTTTAAATACGGAATAAACCCTAAAAATCGTGGGCTTAGGCTGCAACAACCACCACGTCATGGCAACCCTTCTGCCACGCCATGGTGCTCATCCGAAATACGTGTTTTATGAAAGTCATTCCATGTCGTGGTCACCCATGCCCCACGTCGTGACACAAGGTTTTTCTCTAAGAACCCCATTTTTGATCCCTTTAAGCCCTTAGCTGATCCAATCTGGAAAACGGGTGTTACATTGAGAACACGATCTTGAGCGTCTAAGATTGACATAGTTCCATGTATCACGTTCATATGGATATATTGAAGAATAAATGGATATTTAATCACTCACCCAAAGGATTATTTCATACCTACATGTTATGAGTGCAAAAGTGGTATTAAATGGCGTACACCTTGCTATATTAAGGAATATTTGAGTATATAGTTGTTATGACATGTGCAAGTGGGAAACTTTAAAAATATGCCTTGACCACAACGAGTTAGTGATATTTCTATAAACAACGATGTCGTTTTAGGTTACACTCAAGATATGATTTAAGCATGAGATGGTAAAAGGGAAATTATAGGGACTAGTTTGTTATCTCATCGTAAGATGATACATTAATTAGAAGCCAATAAAGTCAATGGTGTAAACTGAAGTTGTCTTTACTTTGAGTTATAAAATAATTACTAGATGATTATCCTACTTAGTTAGATATAATAGAGATCTAGTTAAGATAAGAGTATATAAGCATAACCCTAGCTGATCACACATGTGTGACCGACCATCATTCCCTCCCAAAAACACACCCCTCTCAACCTCTATCTTCCTCTCCTTCTCGATCCTGTTTTGTCTTCGACGTTCTTCCCTAGCTTTGTAAACACCTAAATTTTCAAACCAAATTTTTTTTGAATTTAAAACACATTTTTCTCAATTCAAACATCTCAAAAGTGTCATAATATCAAATCATCAAACACATATCCCAAAAACTGTATATATAACAAATCCAGGATCTTCTCAAACCATGACTCAAATCTCTGATGTGTGTACAATCAAGTCGGCGCCTTCCCGTGATCCTGAGAAGTACCCGAAACACATAACACATAACACGGTAAGCACGAAGCTTAGTGAGTTCCCCAAAAATACCACTCATATCTCATGGCTATACTTAGATAAGACCCTCTGGTCAATGTGTCTCAGTGGGACCCTCTGGTCCCACAACTCAGCTGGACCCTCCGGTCCCTCAACTCAACAACTCAATATAATACACAACATACATATCACAAGGACAAATAAGCAGGATATCTCAATACACAGTATATGCACATAAGACCCTCTGGTCATACATAGGTTACCACTCAAGGTAAGTATAGTGAGAAGACTCACCTCGTAAGAACTCGGATAATCTCGAACTCGAATCACCGGTCTAGCCTCCGCCTAACACAAGGATAATTATCCCTAATTAATAAAGGATCTCACTGAAGCTAAACTAACCCTTCTACAAACTCACAGAAGGGTAAAAAACCATTTTACCCCTCCATGGGCTTAATAGTCCACAAATTGACCAACCCTAAAAGTCAACCAAAAGTCAACGGCAGGGAGTACGCTGCACGTACCAACTCTCTACGCTGGGCGTACTCGGCTGCCATGCAGGCATCGGGGATGCTCGACCCCTACGCTGCGCGTACTGGGATTACGCCAGCTTACGTCCCAGTTTCACTCTTCTCACTAATTTGGTCTTAATCAGTTAAGACCTTGGCTCATATCACACATTTGGACTCCCTAATAGCTCTTACTCCATAAAGTCAGTGACTTTAAGCCTTTGCATGGCTGGAATGGTCATAAACACACAAAACACTCACTCTCTTAACTCAAAAAGCTCATATCTCATGCATGGCTTGATTCTAACGACCAAGATTGGATTTTTATGACATTACACCACTCATTACACTCAAAGGGGTTGATTCACTGTCTCTGGAGCTTAATATCTCATAAAGTCTCCAACTTTTGGGACAAAACCCTAAAATACTCTATTATAAAGCACAAAACAAAAGGGTGAGAAAGCTTGAAGCTTTATACCTCTATGTGAAGCTCCCAACACAGATATGCTCAGATCCAAGGGCCTGGACTCTCACTCCTTCTTATCCAAAGCTTCTTCTTCACTTCAAGAACACAAAAAGACTCTCAAAAGCTCTCAAATGCACTCACAAGCTCACAAGCTCTAAGAATGGAGGTTTAGGGCACAAAAGGGTTTGTTGTCTGAGAATGGTGGCCAGGAATGAGGCCATCATATCCTTTATATAGGGGACTCACCCTAAATTAGGGTTTTCACTATGGGCCTAGTACGCCCAGCGTACCCTCTGGTATGCCCAACGTACTAGGTGGCTTCCGCGTCAAATGCACGCATATGAGTACGCTGAGCGTACACTTGCGTACGCCCCACGTACTCATTCATCACATTTTCTCACTAAAGGGCTAAAATGGACAAGTGCTCAAAAGATCAAGGTTAACAAGGTAATACCTGAACTTGGGATGTTACAAGCTTGCTAGGGTTTGTGATTAGGCCATCAAGTAGAGAAAGAAAGAATTCATTGTTGTTATGACACTGTTTTGGGGTGCTACTACAAGAGAGGAGTCCTACATTAGGCTCTAAAATTATCCACGAGAAAGCAACGAATTGATTCAACAAAGGAAGGGTATCATCCTATCTCTAGGGTTCTAGTTTGTTGCATTAAATCTATGAACTTATGATCCTTGTGGAATATGGTTTTGTATGTTTGCTTCCATTGCATATTTTATGATTCTAAAAATATAACCATATTCCAACAAAAGGGTGGAGGCATTTTTTTGTGAAAGACAAAATAGATACTTTTACATAAATGTGTGGTTCAACACTTCTTTATCCTCTCTAAACGATTCATAGATAAAATTGGTTTAATGGTTAAAAACTTAAAATGTGTTTTTTTAACTCGTCAAATGCTTCATAATTTAGATGAAGCCTATTAACTAAATAGTTAAAAGGTGAAACAAACAACCCTTAATTATTCACACTCTTAATAAAATATTTAATCAAAATATATTTTTTTAATAACTTCTAATTTGTTTTATTATTGTAATATTAAAATATATTTTTAGTGTAAACTTTTTTTTTATGTATGATTATAGTTAAAGAAAATATCTAAATTTTACACAAATATAATGCTAAGGACTAAAGGTTGGAGTCGACTTAAATAGTTAAAAAATAATAATTATAGATTTGTCATTAAAAAAATAGTTAAATAATATTTGGATTGTTTCAAGGATATTAATCAGATTAATTATATTTTAAGTTAATGTCATAAAAATAATTTAAAAGTTTTTTTTTTTTTTTAAAAATGATCAAAAGTCTTAAACGGATTATCCCAGACATTATAAAAGTACCTTTTATGATATATATATATATATATATATATATATATATATATATATATATATATATATATATATATATATATTAAACTGATTTTTGGATACTGTACAAAAATTTTGGATTTTAAACAAAAAAACTCTAAAATTTCAAGAACAATTTCAAAATCCGATGAATTACTTTGGAATTTCAAAAAATACTTTTTTTAATAAAATCTAACAAAAAGTTAAAAATTCATAGCAAATGAGAAGTGTATTATACAATATAAAGGTTTAAAGCTGGATATTTAAGTGAAAAACAATGATTGAAAAAGTTAAAGATTCATGAAAATTGTCATTTTTCAAAAAACTGGAAAAATAATTTTTTTTGTTGTTAAGCTTATTTATTAGTTTAACTAATACCCTTTGTTTCAATTTGAAATTTATAATTCAACATATTATTGTTTGAGGTTTAAAATAAGAATTTATTTATGTATGATTTTAAACATGATATGAGAAAGCTTAGTAAGTAGTCAAAACCACAAACTTCTTTGTATCAAGACTGGAATGAGTTGATCTTAAACATTTTCTTTTATTTTTTATAAACAATTGGTGCCCTGAGCATAATTACACAAACAATCTTAATTATTATTATTATTTTTGTTTTGTGTTGAAAAACGTTTTAAAATGTCATACTAATTATAAAATATAACATTCTGAATGAAGTTAATTAACAAGTAAGAAGTTAAAAATTTCGAATCTTTTAATCAAGCCATTTTGTAGGAAGAGAGTCTATAAATCCGGAATGATATCAGGATAAAACTTGAAATTTCTGGAAATTTAGGGAAATAAATAAATAATTTAAAGGAAAAAACTTTCCATTGCCGGGAATCGAACCCGGGTCTCCTGGGTGAAAGCCAGATATCCTAACCGCTGGACGACAATGGATTTGTGTTCAGTTAAAAAACAACAAAGTATAAACGATGTATAAACGATGTGCACAACAAATACTATGCACAACAAATAAAAAACAAATACTATGCAAATACTATGCACAACAAATAAAAAACAAATACTATGCAAATACTATGCACAACAAATAAAAAACAAATACTATGCAAATACTATGCACAACAAATAAAAAACAACAAAGTATAAACGATGTGCACGTTGACCAGTAGACGGGAACATCTAAACCGTTAGAAGGAAAAAGAATAAATCAAATTACTTTCCGAAAACATGGATTAAAAGCACATTTAAAATATGTTATGATTTATTATGATGTAAACTTTTTAAGTAAAAAAATAGAAAGATTCGCACTTACAAATAATTTTTTTGAATAACAGTCGAACTTATCAATCTATTGGTGGTACAAAATTGAAGATGGATGAAATAAAATACAGTTTCTACAAAATAATAAAACAAAGATTTTAATTAACACAACATAAAATCAACACAACATGGTTACATCATCTACAAAATGTTTATTTTTTAAACCATTACAGTATTGGACACGATTTCATCATCAATAATTGTGATGCAAAAAAAAAAAAAAAAAAAAAAGTTAAACTTAAAAGAAAGAATATTATTGCTGATGGCTATTAACTTAATTTTTTACTTATCCTTTCTTCAGGGACCCAGCAGCAAGCATTTTATTTGATGGCATTTAAGCTCATCAACTTTGTAATATACCTTAAATATCATGGATTTCTCAGAAACTACACAAAACTTCATATTCCACCAGGATAAATACAACTGTTGTAACCTGCAACAAATAATTTACAAGAATCATGAAAAAAGAGAAAGATAATATGGCCATGTGGAAATAACGTAAAGAATGTGCTTATCAAATAGACAATGCAATTGGGGCCCCACAAAACGAAGAAACAAAATAGTAGAGACATGAAAAGACATTTTCGGTAATGATATGATTGGAGTTGGACATTTGGACCCATAATATTTGATTTTTTTTTCTTTTTTTAATCATAAAAGAAAAGAACATCAGGATTTGCACAGTAAACAATATATGAACAAACTATGTAAATAAATGAAATTTAAACAAAAAAAAAAAATCCTACCACCTTGCTTTTTGTTCAAAATCGATGTTTATGGTAAACACGATTTTTAGTGATTAGTCATTATACTCGTTTTACCAGCTGTTTAAAAATTATATAAAATTCAATTCAATTCAATACACACTTTCATGGTTTTTCGCTTTAGCCATTGATCTACGATTCTATTGTCACAATAATCATAAAAAAAAAACAGCATTTCACTCTCTAAATCGATAAAAATGAACAAGTAATTAAAAGGAGGAAAGATACTTACTAGGGTTGTTGGATGTAAGTGTAGCAGTTTGAACAAAATCACAATTCCATGGGTTCCTACCAGACGTTTGATAAAGGAGGTTCATTGCATAAGCCGCATGGGATGCTATTGTGTTGGGCTCAAAACATACACCACCAGGTTGAATTGGACCACAATCAAACCCTTGACCACATACATAGTCAAGATTTGACTGCAATTCTGCATCCGATGCATCTGATTTGGGCACGCACCACCCTGCCGCCTGAACCGGCGATGGTGTTGCCGGAGTTGTGGGACTCGCCGGAGTCTGGATCAGATTACAACCACCACATGAAATATGTTATAATAGAAGGAAATAAATATAAGATGTTATATTAAATACACACATAAATGTATAATTTTGTTCTTCTGTGTAAAAAATGTTAGGGTTTAAGCTTTTCAACAACTTGATAAACGATTTCAAATTAGTAATGCAAAATGAAAAATAAAAGACAGTCAATTTATGTTGTTCACACGATCAGGCGAACACAAGAGAGATTTTTATTAGTACTTTAGGTTACGCAAATTCAAGGAATATAAACAGTAGGTCAATAAAAACAAACATAGAAAATTTGATGAAAAAATGGCCCATGACAAATTTGAAGGTGAACAAGTCTCCACAATTTAACATAAAGTGATATGTTAATATGGAAATGTTTTGAATTTTTTTTTTAAAGGCCGGGATTGATTAAGGTCTAACCTGACTACTTTTGGAAAGACCAACATCATAAGCCATGGAGAGATCGGGCTTATAAAGCCCGAATCCTCTTTCGGAACCCGGCCCAGGCTTCAAATCCTCATCATAAAGTGCAAAGATATATGTATCAATGGATTTTCCGGGCATCAATGGTGTTCCAATCTTTGATCTTAAGTGGTTGATCAAATTACCATTATAGGCTTTTGCGTTATCCACACTGGGCCCAATCTCATTCGGGTCACCTTTGTAAGCCCACCCTGTTTCTGCAACCACAATCTCAATGTCCTTGAACCCCATTGCATTTAATGCAGACCTCACAGCATCCACCTATATAATAATAACATTAACAAACTTTTACTAGATTAGATGTTTGATAATTTACGATTATTTAATATTTATTGCAATAAACAGAGTATAAATTTATGATATCATTTAAAATGGATACTTTAAGTCACTATTTGAACATTGAAAAGAATTTGTACTTTTAATTTGTAGTTTTTTTGTCAGCATCATCAAGGAATATTGATGAAAGCTACTCGATGCCAATTGCCATCAAACCTTCACGTTGCCAGTCACATGGAACTTTATTCTTGCAATAAGATGCTCACTTTATTATTATTATTATTTTATCAATCAGGAAATAACGAAATTATAACAATTATTAAATCTTATGTCATAATTAATTTTTCTGTAATGAGTCCTATATGTATTTCCTGCAAAAAAATATATAATTTGACAAATTACCAAAATGTCGACCTAGGAAGTGTAAATACAATTACTACTATTTACTATTTTATGGGTTTGATTTGTGTAATTATGTTATGTGTAGATACAATCAAGGGCAATTAGCTTAGCTAGGAAGTGTAAATTGATCACCTGGGCATCGAACATGTTCATGTACTTAATACCGTTGCCTGAGTCGACTCGGCCGGAATTGGGTTGAAAGAGAGAAAAAGCTAGGGTTTCGGGGCGCGGATCACTCTGGTAAGCGAAGAATGGATAAGGGTTGATCATGAAAGGCGACCCATTTGCACTGTGAAACTTCAACAGTGATCTCATGGTGTCGCTGAACCCTGAATTGAAAACCGCCGACGAAGGTGGATCTGAGGCGCCTAACACCGCCATGGAGTGCACCGTTGATACCTTGATTTTCCCACCCAATGATGCTGCATATTTCCATTTCATATAACATTCATTTATCAATTAAGAGAATTACTTTCTTGACTATTAAAATACAATTTAAAAGACAAAATAAAAAAATACATTATATGTCATTAATGTGTTTGTTAAGATTTTACAAATGTGTAAAGTTTAAAATATACCCAACAACCTAATCAAATAATCAATTTGCTCAATAATCCATAAGTATAAAAGTGCATAAGTTTGTGTATAAAATAGTAATAAAAAAATGATTTCTTTATAGTTTAAAAAAAAAAGTATGTTTTAAAAAGAGAGTTAGGTTAACTAGAAATGGAAACCTGCATTAAGGGCGTTTTGGACATTTTGCATGGCGGGCAGACAAAGGGGCACAAGGCTTTGGTCAACAGCGGTCATCACTTCATTCCCAACCGTGATGACAATGATCTTGCTATTTGGATATGCCAAAACGTTCGAGTTGACCCACTGAGTCGCGAAATTCGGATCCGAAGCCAATGCAGGAATATCTCCGTTCGCAGCTCCGATCACGATTCCGATTCCGGTATTAGCTAAAGCACGGATGATCGCAGGATCAGCACCGTACATCCTCACTTTACCTATCGACGTCGACTGGAGAAGCTTCGCTGTAGCTTCCGGCGCCGGAAGGTTGTCGGCGAGAAGCCCGTAGTTTACACCAATAAACGATTGTGAACCTACAAAAAGATTTTACCTTTAAACTTTTGATTTTTATTAGTAAAAGTGCTTTGCCTTTACGCAATCCAATTGAAACGAAAATTACGCCGATGGTAGATCGATCGATACCAAATTGGTTCCGAATTGCACTGATAGCTTGTATTTGAAAGGGCATACAGAATCAAATCCCAGATTCAAATGTGCAAGTATCGGAAAATTAGCAGTGATTAAGTAACTAGATAGAGTTAATGTGAATAACTTACTGGAAAAACTACAAAATTGCAGTAAAAAACTGCAAAGAATGAAGAACATGAGTGGCTGAACAGAACTCGCCGGCAGCGCCATGGATTTTCCTGTGTAACTATGTGTGTGTTGATAAGGAAAAGTGGTAGTGTGAAAAGATTTATTATTTGAAGGAGTACAAATTTGAAATTTAGAGGGGTGGGTCCTAGAGTGGTTGGATTTGTCCTCTCTTCCTCCGGTGGGAAGGTGGTGGCCGATGAAGAAGATGAAAAACATACGATTACCACGTACTGTTCATTAATGGGAAGATAAAAGGATCTTGGGTGTCTGTCGGTAAATGTGTCCTTTTTCATTTTAGAAAAGAGTAAATTACGGTTTTTTGTCTATATGATTTGACGCGTTTTTACTAATCACATAATTTTTTCATCGTCTCATTGTCAACCTAATTTTTTTTTCTTCCACATAAAGGGCATTAATTGTCTCTTTACAGGATGTGTAAACACCGCTATGTGTCCTCGTTCTATGGTCATTGAGAAACATCACCGACTTGGAGACATTATTTGAAAGAGGTGCGCTGTTAGGTGCATTTTATACATCTATTTTGCATGTTTATTTCCGTTTTTTTATTGTATTTTAGTTCTTAATCATTGCGTTTAGTTGATAATTTGGGGCACTTGCGTGTTTTATCAGACTGTTTGGTATTTCATTATTTTTGGTTAATTTTGTAGATATTATGGAGCTTGGAGCATTGGAGTTATGGAGACGAGCACGAAGTATGGAGCTATGAGCATGGTGTTTGGATGGAGCATGGATCATGGAGAGAAGATGGTTCGGACGTGTCGCGAATAAGAACTTGAATACATAGACCAAGTCGTTGCACATCATCATGGCAAATGATTACGCTTAAAACGCGGTCCATGTTACACAAACATAGGTCGTGTTAGTCATTTTCATCATATATTTCAGCAACACGACTTGGGTTGAAGTTAGAATGAAGACGGAGTCACGTTTGAAGGCCGATTGAAGTTTCAGCAAAAAGTACGGTTTGATCCAAAAGATACGATCATGAGCCAAAAAGCATGGTCCGACACCAAAACTCACGGTCTAGTAGAAAAAGGCACGGTCTGGAGTCTGACCGTGCATTTCACTCGAGAGCAATTACTCTTTGTGCTAAAAATGAGGAATTTGGCTTATTTATTCCCATGAACGGTTTTTGGAGCACTGTTGGACGATTTTGGGTGATTTTATGAGATTTTTAAAGGCTTCTAATCATTACAAACATTTCTAATTTCAATTTGTAAGCATTAAACATTTCCAAATTTCATCTCTTTGTTTGATTTGTTTTAAACCATGTGTGGCTAAAAACCCTAGTAACTAGTTCTTGTTCAAAACATGTTGATCGTTTGATTTGATACATATGGCTTGATGTTTGGTTTATGATTATATTATTGTTTAAACTAGAATTCTTGAATTTGATTTGGGTTTATTGGCCACTTATATGAATTGAACTCTTGTGTAGTTAATTGACTTTGTTTGACACCTAATCGCCTTGTGAAGTTAATTATAGGTAACAAACAATAGGTTTTCTTATTGTAGAGCATATATCACATGTTTTCACACTTACGAGCGTATGAGAAGAAATGAACATTGTTGGGAAGCTTGTACAAAACTTAGTGCAGTTTTTCAATACAATCTAAGAGCGTGTTTATGTTGAATTAGTAAAGTTAGGTCTAGTAAAAGAGCGTGTTTTGATTAGATAATTTGGCAAGTGAGAGATATTAGAGTGTGTTAGTATCTTTTATTACCAAATTAGAATAGTAATCATGAATTGCATCAAGACATAATCAACTTAAATGGAAACATCAAGAACTGGAACTAGAACCGTTTAATTCATTGTTTACAATTCTATTTCAATTTATGCATGTTTTCAAAGTAAATTGTTATTTAAATTATTTAACATTTTGCATACAACCCCTCATCCCCCTTGTGACCAAAGTACCTTACGCAAAGAGGTATATACATTAGCCATGTGTCTTTGTTGATCAACCCTGCTTGCGTTGTACTACTTTTTAGTACATTATAACAATGTATGTGGAGTCTATTGTACCCTATTATTTGTTGGGTTTGAAATCCTAACAGATGCAAGGAACTTAAAATTGTGACTCATTCTTAGTCGGGTTTTCTTTATGCTACTTATGTTAGGTTAGAATTAGTATCAATTGTAATTGTGATTATGGATTTGTCGTTATATGGTATTTTTTTTAGTGGCTTCTTAGGTGTAACGCCCTGTTTCTGGTACGTATTTAATTTCATTAAATGTCATTTTATAAGATCTACTCGACGAGTTGTAGCCCTAACTCGACGAGTAGATGCCAGGTTGGACGCGGGTTTAAGTGATTGTAACACCGTAAATTTTCAAACAATTTTTCACATTTTTAAAAGCATACTTTCATTCATAGATATTATAAAAATCTCATTGTATCACATATCAATCCATAGAAACACATCCCAAAATCATAATGTATAAAAACTCCTCATGTGTGTACTGATCATGCCGGCGCCTTCCCGCGATCCTCACTGGTACCTGAAACACATAACACAACACCGTAAGCATAAATGCTTAGTGAGTTCCCCAAAATACCACATATAACACATATTAGCCACTCGAGGCTATAACTCTGTGGGCCCTCTGGTCCTAACTCTGTGGACCCTCTGGTCCTAACTCTGTAAACTCTGGAATACACACAACATAGATCACATAGGAATAATGCAGTGCAACACATCACATACATAGCATACAAGATACTCTGTCACATAACTCTAATTACCACTCAAGGTAAAGTATAGTGAGAAGACTCACCTCGGGTGACTCGGTAAACCTCGAACTCTGAAATACTGCACTAGCCTTCGCCTAATCACATAAATAATTACTCTAATTAATACAACTTCTAAAGGCTAGGCCAACCCCTCTCTATAAGTTCTCTAAGAAGGGTAAAAGACCATTCTACCCCTCGAATGGCTCATAAGTCCAAACACTGACAACCCTAAAAAGTCAACAAAAGTCAACGGTCAACATTGACCGGACTCGCCGAGTGCACTAGAGTGACTCGGCGAGTACATGTCTGTCCTCTTCGCCCCTGGTTCTCACTTGACTCGCTGAGTCAACCCTATACTCCACGGGTCGTCACAGGTCGCGAGTCGCGGGGCAACCCGACTCGACTCGTCGAGTCCCTTATGGGCTCGGCGAGTTCCTCCCATGAAAACTCTCAAAAGATCTCTTGAGGTCAGATCTGCTTCACCAACCAGTAGATCCAACCTTCTAACACTCGAAAGTCACGTAAAGGTTCAAACTTTACGTTCATGCAATGCTTATAAGACCAAAAATGAAGAAATAACCATTTAAATGGGGTTCTACTCTCAAGGCTCACATGAAAGCTCATAAAGCTGGAAGCTTGGGACCTTTTGGACCTCTCAAGGTCCACATCTATCATCTATACCCAAAGGGACCTCATATGCTTCACAATCTCACTCAAAATTGTGCAAAGGAAACCCTAGATTCAAGGAATCTATCAAATACACAAAATGGGAAGGAACTTGTACCTCAAAACGTGAATCTCAGTATGAACAACACAGATCCAAGCTCCACAATCAGCCTAGCTTGTTCTGCCTTCTTCCTTCTTGCTAAAACACACAAGAAATGGTGAGTTAGCCTTCCTCTTGCACCACAAACGATCTCTCTGCTCTCTAGGGTTTCTCAGGGGTGAAGTGGCCGCAAATGGAGGCCATAAAGGCCTTTAAATTGGGCTCAGGCCCTGAGATTTAGGGTTTCACTTTACAGCGCGGACTCGCCCAGTCCACGCATCGACTCGTCGAGTCCCTCATTAATCCAGACAAGAATTCGCGATCCTACTCGGCGAGTCTGAGCACCTACTCCCCGAGTTCCTCCCTAAAACTCAAGGTAAATACTTAAAATAAGATACCTGGAAATTTGGATGTTACAATTCTCCCCCACTAGAATCAGACTTCGCCCTTGAAGTCTTGCTCAGCAAACAACTCTGGATGCTGCTCCCGCATCTCCAACTCCGGCTCCCAAGTCAGTTCGGACCCTCTCTGATGTTGCCACTGGACCTGCACCAGGGGCACCTCCTTGTTCCTCAGAACCTTGATCTTCTGATCCTGGATCGCGATTGGCCTTTCAGCATAATTCAGGTTCGCATTCACTTGAATATCCTCCAACGGCACCACCGCCGACTCGTCGGCTATACACTTCCTCAACTGAGACACGTGGAAGGTATCATGAATCTGGCTCAACTCCTCAGGTAGCTCTAGACGATATGCTACCTTTCCCACCCTCGCGGTCACCCTGAACGGGCCAATATACCGGGGCCCCAACTTGCCCCTCTTCCTGAATCGAATCACTCCTTTCCAAGGGGATACTTTCAGGAGTACGAAGTCTCCCACCTGGAACTCAAGCTCGGATCGTCGCCTATCCGCATAACTCTTCTGGCGACTCTGAGCCGTCAACAACCTCTGTCTAACCTGCTGTATCTGCTCGGTCGTCTGAAGCACTATCTCAGTGATGCCCATCACATGCTGCCCTACCTCTCCCCAGCAAATGGGAGTCCGACATCTCCTCCCGTATAACAACTCGAAGGGAGGCATACCAATACTCGAATGGTGGCTGTTGTTATAAGAAAAACTCAGCCAACGGCAAGATACGTGTCCCAACTTCCTCGAAGTCCAACACACATGCCCGGAGCATGTCCTCGAGCGTTTGAATCGTCCGCTCACTCTGCCCGTCCGTCTGTGGGTGGTAAGCGGTACTGAAATGCAGCCTCGTACCCAACTCCTCATGGAACTTCTTCCAGAACCTGGAAGTGAAACGTACATCTCGGTCTGACACAATCGAGATCGGTACTCCATGCCGCGATACCACCTCCCTCACATACAACTCTGCCAATCTCTCTACAGAAGAGCTCTCACTGATAGCAAGGAAGTGAGCGCTCTTCGTCAGCCGGTCGACAATCACCCAAATCGCATCGACACCCCTCGCGGTCCTTGGCAATTTGGTGATAAAATCCATGGAAATGTTCCCACTTCCACTGGGGAACCTCAAGTGCTGCAACTTGCCGTGCGGACGCTGGTGCTCAGCCTTAACCCCGCGACAGGTCAAGCACCTCTCAACAAACCATGCTACATCCCTCTTCATACAGGGCCACCAGTAATCTTTCTTCAGATCCAAATACATCTTAGTGGCCCCGGGATGGATCGAGAACCTCGATCGGTGCGCCTCCTCCATCAAAGTGGTGCGCGTCCCGCCTGCATACGACACCCAAATCCAACC